GATATCAACCAATAACAAATGCTGGAGGGGCTGTGGGGGAAAAGGAACCCTTCTCCACTGTTGGTGGGAGTGCAGACTGGTGCAAGCGCTGTGGAAATCAGTGTGGAGATTCCTCAAAAAACTAGGGTCAGAGGTCCCGTTTGATCCAGCTATTCCCCTTCTGGATATCTTCCCAGAAGAATTAAAAACATTGTACCACAGCAATATATGTACACCCATGTTTACAGCAGCACAATTTGTAATAGCTAGAACCTGGAAACAGCCTAAATGCCCATCAACAAGGAATGGACAAAAAAAATGTGGTATTTTTATACAATGGAGTACTACTCAGCCATAAGGAAGGATAAACTTGAGACTTTTGTAGGTAAATGGATGCAGCTTGAGATCATATTCGTAAGTGAAATAAACCAGGCTCACATGTGTAAACATCACATTGTCTCCCTACTGTGAGAAGCTGAAAGAGTAAATAAGATCCAAAATGTACAATAGATATTGTAAAATGGTAAGAAACTATTCAAAAGAAAAGAGAAACTGGGATAGGAGAAAGGGGAAAAGAAGGAAGGGAAAGCAAAAAAAAAATATATATATATACCTCTATGATAGTTAAGGTAGTTAAGATACTTATACTACTAATTTCTTTTAGTAAAGAAAGCCTTGTGCTAATATTGTTTGGACAATTAAATGCTTATATCTTGCACTATGAGTTACTAAAGATAACAATATGTAATATATTAACCACTGTTACTCTCCTGTTATCTTGTTTTGAAATTTGAGGGTTTTTTCCTTTCTTTAAAATAAAATTTAAAAAAAGATCTGGGATTAGGAAATAAATAAAAAATATCCTTTTTCTTATAATGTTTTTTGGGTACTGGGAATCAAACATTTTTCTTGTAATTGTTAATGCTAATATTTAACTAGAAAGAGATAGTTCTGGTCAAGATGGACTTTAAATGTTTATATTCTCTTGAAAAATTGTAAAAAATATTTAACTGTAGTCCTGACCAGGACAAAAAATGGACAGCAAGGTCCATGTGGATCTTTTCTTGGAGCAAGTCAGTTGTGTCCCAGGCATTCCCCAAGGAAGCACTTGTTTATTCAAATATATGGAAGTTACATACTATTGACGCTATATTTTTAGATATATGGGTTAAATTGGTCACTGTTCTTTAACTTTAGAGAGTGGTGAAGTGACAGAAAATATCACATCCGGCCTGCATGGTCAGGGAGCAGTGGTGGAACCTCTTCCTGTGTCTCTCACTCACTGGCCACAACCCAAGGCAAAAAGGAGCAGCCACTTGTTCCGGGTCTGTTTCCAGAGACAATGCCAGCGGAGGTGTGTTCCCACGGGAACGGTGCACACAGTCGCTTCCGCATGCAAGAAGTCCTGGGAAACATGAGGTGCCTTTCCCCTGGTTCCCCTCATCAAATGCAACAGAACGTTTACTTTTAAAAACAAATACTTTCTGATGACAATAGTGACATGTGTCTATGGTAGAAAATTAGGAAACAGAAAAGTACAAGGAAGAAAATAAAAAATCAGTCATTACTACACCACCTAAAATAACGCTGGGATTAATATATGACATATCTACCATTCTAGTCTTTTCTGCTCCCTGTGGATAAACACACAAAAACCGTACAGATGTTTTGGGGAAGGAGAAAATAGCAGAATAGATTTACTTTTCCTGTAATTATTCCTCCCAACCCACTTTCCTATCTGCTGTCTCTGCCAGCTTCCCAGCAGGAAATCAGTGGAAGCCTCAGAATTCAAATTTTGGTGAACCTGGTCGCGCTGGCTAAGGCCCAGCCACAGGCAGGGTAAAGTCAAACGACTTACCTGCCCAGGGAGAGAGGGGGCACAGAAGGTATTGGCGTTCTAGTTTCGGGGCAGCCTTGCTGCTCACCTGCGTGTACTTCCATTTCTAAGGGCTTTTGATGTCTCCAAAGCAGCTGCCTTTTGCGGGCTGTGGTCGGCTCTTTCCCGGAGTGTGCTGGGCTATCTCCCATCCTTCATCGCAGTTTGTCTCTGCCCTCTTCCTTTCTTCCCGGCAATCTGCTGGCCCAGGAGCACTTCTGTGGTTTGCTCAGTCAGTCCTTCAAGTGTTTTTCACTGTAACTTAACGTCACTGTCTGTTCCTTCCTATGTAATTCTAGGTAATTTTAGAAACAGCCGAAAAAGTCACGATCCCATAAGAAAAAGGATGTGGCTCCGAGCCTTCCTTCTGGGGCCGGGCAGGGCTGAACTGCAGCCCCAGAACACTGCAGATCCACGCTGCACAGGGCTCCACAAGACCCCCTCATACCCTAACTTGTATAAGTTCAGCTCCTTTCAGAGAGTATAAATTTTCCCACAGATTTTAAAAATGAAGATGATCTTCATCTAGGGATGATGATTTTGTGACTGTGTCACTGGAACAGACGTGCCCCGTGCCACCTCCCAGGGTCTGCTCCTGTCCTAGGCCGTAGTACGCACACACAGATGTACATTCATGCATAGGCGGAGCCACAATGCTACTCACAGGTGGAGCCGGTCCCCACTTCATGATAACCAATGTCCTCTCCCACCTGTCCCTCCTCATGTCCCTGTCAAATTCTCCCTTCCCCTCTGTGTGGAGGACCACCCGGGCGACTCTCCTTGAAAGAGGAACAATTGCCTCCCTTTTGACTGAGCCTGACCCTATTTCCATGTATTGATGCGTACAGAGCTGGCTAGGACCCTTTCCTTATCCCTTCAATTGGCTTTTAGCAATGCATATCGGTCTAGCGGAGGTGCTGATGGTTCCCTGGACCCGCCCCTTGTTCCCACGAGTGAGCGGGATGTGTGAGCCAAGGCTCCACACTGTCAGCTGGGATCAAGCCTTGGAATAGAAGCCATGACTTCCTAAGGCTTGAAAGATTACACATCCCAGCTGAAGCACTGACCCCAAAACATTAGATACTGTTTCAGTTGTGTTATGCAGATTACTCTTTCTGCATATCCTTCTCTCTGCATATGGCAGAGGTGACTTCAGGCCTCCTACCTAGCCCAGCTCATGGCACTCACGTACTTCCCGCCACTCTCACATTACTCATCCTCAAAAAATTCTCTTCTTCACAAATGAATAAAATCTGGGTTTGGTCCTGGGTCAAGGCCTTTGTCCCAGATAGCCATCACTGTGGCCGAACTCAGCACCCACTTGACTCCCCACCATTTTGGGTATATTGTGTCTTTATTTACGCCATGGGTTGCACTGGAAGTGGTAGATTGGAATTAACTCATTACAATTCCAATAAATTTTCCATGGGATTGTGTATATAAACCTCCTGGAGGGGCTGGGGATTTAGCTCAGCGGCACAGCACCTGCCTGGCAAGCGCAAGGTCATGAGTTCGATTCCCGGTACCGGAAAAAAACAAAAAAAAACCTCCTGGGCTGTGACGAAGACCAGGAGGGAGCTCTATTCCACTGCCTGTCCTGAAGCATGGTACTCTGTCTTAGAGTCTTGGGGACTATGTTAGTTCCAGTAAGATTTGGCTGTTGGTTGTGGTAAAACAGGGGCAGCTTCGTTCCACGGAGTTCTCGGGCAGCTCGGCTCTATCCATCCTGGAGTTCAAACAAATGTGCCCTCCATCTCAAGATCAACGCGACTCTGAGCCTGAGGACCAGCCATCACACTGGGGGCTGTGGTTCAAGCCGCAGGGTGGAGAATGGAGGTGGAGGAGCGGCCTCTCTCCGGGATATTCCCGGAAGCCGCAGCAGAGCACTGCCTCCCGTGTCATTAGCCGCACAGCTACACCTCGCTGTAGGGGAGGCTGAGAAATGTTGTCTTTATCGGAGTGGCCAAGTGCCAAGATAATACTGTATTTAATTGCTGTAAGGAAGAGAGCTTTTGGGAATAGCCAGCAATTTTGGCCGCAAGGACTTGTTGCAATTCCAAGAACCAACTACTAGAACATAAGTAACCCAGACAGGAGATTTCCAACCTCAGCTGTTGGCATCCAGGGCTTCTGTGGGACCAGAGCGCACCTTGTGAGAATGGGGAGTCTGCCCGGGGACAGGCTGAGGACAAGAAGACAGGCTGCTGGGACCATGGGCAGGACCACAGGCAGCAGCATCTGCTTTAGGGTTCCTCCTCCAGGGGCATCATCACAGCCCTCTGAGCATCAGGAAAGATGAGGATGGGAGATAAGCATAAACCATGAATTCTACAAGAGACCCCACAGGGCTGACTAACTACTGCAACTCACAGAGAGGAACTCCTGCTAGGCACCAGGCACTAAGCTAGAGGCTTTATGTATCTCCCACCATTCAGTCTTCATAGCAATTGATGATAATTTCCCACCATCACACCATGTGACAAGTGTGCAAATGGGCCGGAGGCCTTAAACAAGAGTATCATATAGTCAATGAATAGGAAGAGGATTTAAATCCACTGATCTCTCTTGGTGTAGAACAGGACTAGATTAGAGAAGTTCGAGATTCCAACGTATAGACTCTTGAAAAATATACGTGCTTGACTTTTTGTAACGTGAACTGTGTAAAACAGCAGGAAGCGGGGTGGCTGTTATTAAAAGCTATGAATATTTTCAGAAAACAAAAACCTGAAGCATGGCGCGGTAGCACACACCTGCATTCCTAGCACGTTGGCAGGTTGAGGCAGGAGGAGCTCAAGTCCAAGCCTAGCCTGTGCAATTTAGCGATTTAGGGAGAACCTGTCTCAAAATAGAAAATAAAAATTTAAAAAAAGGCCAAGGATGTAGCTCAGTAGAGGGCTCTGGGCTTAGTGCTGCAAAAACAAACAAAAACTTCCCTAGTAAAAACCTTGAGCCTTTGATTTACTGTTGAAATCTAGAGTGTTTGTATGTCAGGTTGACACAGATCAAGATGTTCTTCTACTAACGCATCTAAATGTGCAATGGTTCATGACATTTAATTTTATGATGACCTGACTATGATTTTGTTAATAATATTGCAAATGTTTACAGAACTGCCCTAACATTAACTTTTTGATTGAATATGAAGGATACTGACTTTTCAATGGAACAAAACGAAAATGATCTACCACCAGGTTTCAGCCAAGTCTCAGCAACTGACGTGCCGGTCAAACAGAGAAAAGACACAGGGTACAAAATTATTTTATTGTTGGTTCAAGGGATTGGATTTAAAAACAGTTGGGAGGCCCGACACGGTGGCATCTGCCTATGATCCCAGCACTTGGGAGGCTGAGGCAGGAAGATTGCTGCAAGTTTGAAGCCAGCCTGGGCTACAACCTGAGTTCAAGGCCAGCCTGAACTGCATAGTGAAAGACAAAAGACAAAACAAAACAAAATAAATAAATAAAGTACAATAAAAATGGTTGGGAAAATTGAGTGATTGATTAATATATGTTAACTAAAAATATTTGAAATTGGAATGAAAGCAAGACTGTTAAAGCAGTTCAGACCACTAAATGAATGTTTTCCCCTGGACTGTGTTTAACAGGAGTGATTGCTAAGAGAAACTGCTAAGAGAAATTTCTATTTTTATACGTGTAAAGTAGTTAATTTCCCTCCGGTGCACTTTAAAGGGCAGCTACTGTGAAATTTCCTTAAGTTAAATAAATGAACTTGAATTTGATGTGAATTTTCTGAACTCCTTCGAAGTGAAAGAAACTTACTGTATTTCTCCTGCTTACTAAAGGTACAACTTCGAGGTAGCACTACAACTCCTGGGCTTGGATGACGGGCCTGGGCCCAGCGACAAGAACCCTGCCTTGATGAGGGGGGCCTACCTGTCCTTTCTGTGTCTGCGGCACCTGCGAATCTGCGAGCTCCGGGTACGTGGAAAACCCAGGGTGCCAGCTCAACTTATCCAACATGCCCGATTATCTAGAAAGGGGGTGTTCCTGTCTCTCGGCAGCAATACATTTTTATGCTTTTGCTCTTTATTCTGTTTTTTTTTTTTTTTTTTTTTTTTTTACTGGAAATCAGCCCCTTTCCGGGATGGTGTGTTCCTTTCTCCCCGTTGGGGTGACCCTCCCCCGCCTTGGGACCCGGTCGAGGTTTACTCTGTAGGGAGGAGCGGAGTAGAGGGAGGAGTCCTGATTGGGTTCTTTCTTTGTTTCAGCGCATCTGCTTAGGAATTCTGAACTACTTCAGATCTGTTGAGCGAACTTTGACTATCAATACTTCAGGCCTTACCTTGGTTTCTGGGGAGCTGGTCCCCACAGCGGAAGACAGCTCTTGGACAAATATTGCAGAAGGAGGCGTGGGCACCTTGCAAGGCCTGGGAGCGCACCACTATGTCCACGGGACGCCTGCTGAGCACAAGGTGAGCCGGTCCCTGCGCGCTGTTCTTCCTTGCTTATTTCATCTCGCCAAACTCCTTTTTCTTAGCACCTGGAATCAGTCAACAGGACAGAGCGGCAGGTGGGGAATTCGTTGGGAAAACGGCTTATTCAAAGTTGTAAATGGAGAAAATGACTTTCCAACCACAGAGAGACACCGCCCACAGAGAGCGGGACTGGGCAGAAATCACTTCTGGAGACGGCAACAGGAAGGAAACATTTTAGTTGTTGGACTGTTGACTTGACAGTGAATGGAGCGAACACAAAGGGCCTCATGCTCCGGCAGAGATGCTTTTGTAAGACTCTCCTTGACATTGCTAGAGGTGTCTTGTGCCCATTTCCTGTTTGCTAAGCACTAAATGGAAAGGAAAAACGCAGACTAAAAACAAAGATAGAACAAAATTAGAAAAATTTGAACTGGGCTTGGTGTGGTGGCACATGCCTGTGATCCCAGCATTTGGGAGGTCGAGGCAGGAGGATCGCTGCGAGTTCAAGGCCAGGGCTATATAGTAAGTACAAGGCCAAATATAGCAAGACCCTGTCTCAAAAATAAACAAACAATTGAAATAAACAATTAAAAAGTCTTCTTCACTCTAAAAATCTGTTTACCTGTTGCATTTGATGTCTCTTGAACATATTTTTCTATACTGTCTAAAATTTCAGCCCTGCCTAACAAAAGACTGATTAAGACAAGATTTATATTAAATCTCTTTCATTGGAATAAAATTGAGAATGCTTGTGTTTCAGTGGACTGTTACAGGTGCTCCTGCAGTATTTTCATCTCAACATCTAGAAAATTTATTCCTCAAGATAGAGTTTAAAATGAATGTAATCCTCTTGAAAGATACCAGATTGACAAATGTGAAGACAAAACCTGTTAGTTGCCAACCAAGGGGTACTGTGTGCCTGTCGTGTCTGCAAGGTGCCAGCTCTTCCTGGCAACTGCCGCTCATACGCATGCAGCCAAGAGCAGTGCCACGCGGCAGAAGTGCGAGGCCCGCCACACACATAATTTAAATACTCTAGTAGCTGCATTTTAAAAGCTCAAGGAAAGATGTGAACTTGATTTGAAGAATATAATCTATTTAACTGAATGTATGCAAGCTATCTTGTCCACATGCAGTCAATATTAAGAAGTCGTTGATAAGGTACATACTTTTTTTTTTGAGACAGGATCTCATCACATAGTCTGGTTGATCTTAAATTCGCTATATAACCGAGGCTGGCCTTGAACTCACAAGTTAAGTTATACTTAGGAGAATGTCTCTCTTCATTGCTTTGTCAGTTACTCCAGGATCTCTGCCCAAACGTAATCACTCCTACTTTAGCTCCTGTGTGCTAAGATGACAGGCATATGCCACCACAGCCAGCTCAGATACAGTCTTTTTTTTTTTTCCGGTACCGGGAATCGAACTCACAACATTGCGCTTGCCAGGCAGGCGCTGCAGATACAGTCTTTTATACTAGGTCTACAGAGCATGATGTGTATTTTATATGGATAGTGTATTTCAACTCAGGCGAGCCACATTTCAAGCCTGGAATGGCCACATGGGGCTGTAAGCCAATCTCTTGAGCAGTTCAGCTCTAGATACTAAGAAATATTTTATTTTCCCCACTCAGTCACCTGGCGTCCTCCACTCAGTATCCTAGGCAGGCTTCTCGTTTTGCTCCCCTTCCCTACCAAGCAGCCCCCAACTTTTACCCGCTCAGTACACGCAGATTTCTTTTCTGACTTCACTTACCCTTCTGCCCTCTCTTGATCCTATTCAGCAAACCCAGCTAATGCGCCCCTCAGTGGAGCTAGGGAGGAGGAGTTAAGGCTCTTTGGATAAACACACACGTAAAACAAATATATCTTTCTTTTACTAAAATTGGTTCTACCACAGCTGTAATATGTTATTATGCTAATAGATCTCTTTAAATCCTTTTTTACCATAAGGCCTCCTCTCAGTTTGTTTTTTCTGGACTGGGAATGGGGGAGGGTAGAAGTAAAGGACGAGAGAAGTGACAAATCCATCCTGCCATGCTAATTGTAAGAAGAACTTCTCAGGGTAGTGCAATATTTCTTTCCTGTAATCACATGAATGACAGGAATAACATTGCCTTTAAAAGCTACCCACTGCTGTTATTTCAGGTGAGGCCCGCAAGGCAGCGCCTTCTGTCTTCCGTACGATCGTGTGGCTTAGCTGTCCGCCCTGGGGGTGGCTTGTCAGCACGCACACTGTGTGTCCAGTTATGGATGGTGTGATTATTCTCGTGTAGGGGAAAGGAAAGCACAGATGCTAATCTGTTGTGTAGATCTCACCAGGCTGGAGGCAGGTCCACTGGGAACAAGTCCCTGAGTTTCCCAGCCGTGGAGGCCTGGCAGCCCCTGCTATGTCCTGGATCTGCGGCAGCGTGCTGCTAACACAAGCGGCTGTGGGCGTGGTGGGAAATGAGGCTGCAGAGAAGAGGGGGGCAGACCATGAACGCCGAGGCTCTCCCTAGGCTGGTGGGAGCAGATAAAAGAGTTATAAATAGGAGAACGTCTCTGTTCATTGCTTTGTCAATTACTCCAGGCTCTCTGCCCAGACGTAATCACAGTTATTCCTGTGCTAGAACTCTTTCATGAGTTTCCTGTTCTCATAAGATAAAGTCCAGGCTTCTTGGTGACATTTACAAGGCCAAGCACAATCTGGGCCCTGCCAACATCGAGGGCCTCATTTCCCCCCTTGTCTCTATGGCGGGGCCTGGGCCTCCTCTGCGTGGGCAGAGCTACTGACTCCCTGGGCCTCGTCACTCGCCTCTTTTCTCCTTGTAAATCTGTGCTCTGATTCAAGAGTCCATTCAGATACCTCCTCTCTGGGGAGCCTTCCTGGCGTCTCTGCAAAGCGGAACACTGCTCGCCATCTCGTGCCTACTCCATCGCGGCACTCAGCATGTGGCTGTGCTGGACTGTCGGTTTATCTGTTCCCAGGGGCTGTGAGCCTGTCATTCATCCGCCCGTTCATTTACACATTCATTCATTCCTCAGATATTCTGATGAGCACACTAGGAGCTACGCTAGGCCTTGGGAATACAGCAGTGAACAAAACTGGCCTAATTTCTTGCCATTGTGGGAGTTCCCTGACAGGAAGGGAGAGATAGTAAATAAGCAGAGTCTGTCGCCTTTGGGGTGTGGCACCAAAGCTTTCACACACCCCAGCCGTGGCAGTCATGTGGGAACCGTGAGCAGCTTTGGACAGTGGGCTGTGAGTGGGTGGTGTGATTATTCTCATGTAGGGGAAAGGAAAGCACAGATGCTAATGGTCTTGAACTCACAATGATCCTCCTGCCTCAGCCTCCCAAGTGCTGCCTACTACGTATGTGTGGAGTCTACTGCTCCTAGGTGACAAAACTTACATGTTACCGTACTGGATACAGTCAGTCCAAAGCACGTGGGAGCTGGTCCATACCCTCTGGCTTTCTTCCGCTTCCGGCAGAGGAAGGCACATGTTGAAGTGGGCAAATCACGCGTGGCAACATCCTGGATCCCTGTCACCGCCGGAAGAGGGCAGTGTAGAGAGGAGCGGGTCCTGCAGTAGGCTCTGGATGAGTGGAAGCTCATTTTGAGTTCTGTGCACTGAACTTTGGGGTTGTTTAGCACAGAATGACCTAGTCTTTGTGGACTAATGCAGAAGTAAGAGGTGCTGTGGAGAAAAATGAAGTAGGAGAATGAAATAGAAAGTGCTAGAAGCGGGTGATGGAATGCTGTAGTTGTAAGCAGGACAGGCAGGGAAGGCATGTGGAGAAAGTACGACTTGAATGAAGACATGAAGGAAATCAGGAAGCAAACCGCAGGACTGGAGAAGCATGCAGAAGAGAAAACCAGTGTGAAGGCCCTGAGGCAGGACTGTGGGGGGAACGGCAATCAAGTCAGCGTGGCTGGGAGAAAAGCAAAAGAGAAGAGCAGTAAACAGTGAGGCTGGAGAAGTTTATGTCTGCCTATGAGAACTGTGAGAACTTTGGCTTTGGCTGAGTGAAAAACTTAGGAAGTTTTGTGCAGAGGAATTATATGATTTGACTTACACTTTAACACTCCGGCTTATGTAGTGCAAACAGACAGAAAAGATTTTAGGGCTGACACAGGGAGACTCCTTAAGATGTTATTGCAGCTGGGCATGGTGGTACGTGCCTGTAATCCCAGCACTTGGGAGGCTGAGGCAGGAGGATCATTGTGAGTTCAAGACCAGCCTGGGCTACAGAGTGAGCTCAAAACCAGCCTGAACTGCATAGTGAAACCTTGTCTCAAAAAAAAAAAAAAGAAAGAAAAAGAAGAAGTTGTTGCATTAATCAACCCAGTAATGACATGGCTAAGGAAACTGGTGTAGAACGGTCAGATTCTGAATGTACAGTCCTGTGCCACACAACCACTTTCCACGCAGTGACGACCACCTGCAGATACAATGGTGGTCCCAGAAAATTCTTATCATCAGCTGGAAAGTTCCTGTCACCTAGTGACATCGTACCCATTGTAATGTCATAGTGCAACTCATTACTTAGGTCTTCATGGAGGTGCTGGTGTAAACAAACCTGTTGAGACGTGTTTAGATAAAAATTACTTATCATTGTGTTACAGCTGCTTGCCGTATCCAGTACGGTAACATGTAAGTTTTGTCACCTAGGAGCAATAGACTCCACACATACGTAGTAGGCAACACTGTCTAGATTTGTGTAGGCACATTCTGTGATGCTCACACAACAGCAGAATCACCTAACGACACATGGGAACTTGTTATAATGAAGTAGTATGTGACTGTATTTTAAAGGTATGGCTGACATGATTTCTAGGCAGAGAAGTCAAGGTTGATACTAAAATTTTGACCTGAGCTTTTGGAATTTTAGAGTTGCCATCTTGACCTCTGGTTGGAACAGCTTTGTGGGGAGGTTAGAATCTGGGGGGTATTCAGGAGGCAAAAGGAAGCAGCAAGGTAGATGTGTGTCTTGTACATAGAATGTAATTTAA